TTAGCCTGGTTACCAGGATCAGTCCTTTCGATCCCAAGTAGCAGCTGGCTGGGCACAATTCAGCGCATTGCCGGTTTGTTCCTTAGGCTTACATGCATTGTTTTCATTTAAATTCTCGTGCACTGACCAGACTCACTTTGGCTGTATAAATTGGAAGAATAAATAAATGAACGTTGATGGGGGAGGGGGGGAAGGGGGTAAAATTTGGCAGGGGTCCTGGGAACCACCCTGGAGTTTTTACTGCTTCTTGTTCTCGGCCTTTTGCCCCATGTGACCCCCCCCACACCCCTTTTTCAACACTCCTCCGTGGCATGCATGTCTTAATTAAGGTATGGAGTTATCCACGTTGGACCCTATTTTTAATCTTGGGGAAGTGCCAGAAGGCTTGTGTGATTGGGGGGGGGGGGGGCGAAGGTGTTGGGTTAGTGACTGACCTTCTTCTTCCTCTTGTCTATTAGTGGTGTTTACCCCCCCACCCCACCCCAAACCTCATTTCCCCCCTTTAATTAAACAAATGCTTTTCCACCCCAAAATGCATTTGTTAAATAATGTAGACAAGATGAATCCAGAGGTGGCTTAGACAAGGTTACAGAGAGCTGGTCCCAAGGGGTCTTTACAGGTAGAGTGCTTCTGCAGATGGAGGAGCTGTTCCTCCCCATTTCCTAGCAGTGAAGGGGAAGATAAAGACCCCTCCCCATGGCACCAAACAGACTGACAGCTGGGGAGGGGTGGAAGAAAGAGACAAAGGGGGAATTAAGAGAGGGGGTGCAAGGAAAGTCATGCCTGCTGCAACAGTTTGGATGCAACTTGCCTGTGGCAGCTGCTCCAAGGGAGCCAAAATCAGAGGCTGGGAATGATGGCAGTTGTAGTTCTCACAGAATCAGAAAGTTTATTTATTTATTTTTAAGGAAAAGACCCTTTAAGTTAGAAAGCCTGCCCCTCCCCACCCCGTTCTGCATTGTAGGACGTTCCCCAGCAGCTCAGGATGCTGAATTTGCAAGAATAAAAGGCTTAGAGGAATGATTGCAGTCCCCCCCCCTGCTTTAAGGATTCCCCCCACCCTTCAAGGATTGCCAGCATCTTTGCGATTGCAAAGGGTTGAGATTAGGGAGCTGGTGGGTAGGCAAAGCCTTCTGCAGCTGCTCAGAGGCACGGCCGCTTGCCTCTGCCTCCAGAGCTGGGGGTCGGCCCGCGTGTCCTCAGCTGACACCCCCCGAGGCGGGGCCAAGAGGGTCTGGCTCAGAGCAGCCGGTGGGGGCACACAGCTGTTGCGCTGGGACCAGAGCGGGTCGAGGCAGCCGTGCGCCCGGGGAGATGCTGCGCGATCGGACCCTTCGGCTGCAGTTTGGCCACCGCCTGGAGGCGGTCTACCTGCTGGGCACCCGGCTGTCCGTGGACGTCTTCGGGTGAGCAAGAGGGAGATCCAGCTTTGCAGAACGGCCCCCTCCCCTCCGTTCGGCCCCCTCCCTCCCCTCCTTGCCCCTCTTCCCTCCCAGCACTATAGACCCCTCTTCCTGCTGTGGTGTTCAATGTGCATCCTTCAGAAGAAGGGTTTTTCTCCCCCCCCCCGTAAACTTCATCCTCTTTCCCTCCCCAATCTGCAGTCCTTCAAGATTGCAACCCCCTCCCCAGCATAAACCCATAAATTTAGCTGTCCCGAGGCTGACACACACACACACCGGCTCCTTACTGGAAAGTATTGGAAATAGTTCCTTTGAAATACTATCTTCTTCAGCACTGCTTTTTTCTGAGATGTTTCGGGTGTGCTTTGCCTGCCCCTCCCAAATTTATTTCTCCAATGGAGATGTTAACTTTGGGCATGAATCGGGCGACCGGTGGGTGAAGCGGTGGCACCAAGGGAGCACTTCTCGGCGTCTCTGTCTCCAAAGGGCAGCCTCTCTTTTCACGGAGTCTTCCTTGTCGCGGGTCCTGCATTCAGCTCCAAACCCTTAAGTGGACCTCGTTAGCTTGCCTGGCATGGCCAAACGGGCACTTGGCAGCTTCTCTGCAGCTCCCCCCCCCCCAAGATCTGAGGAGACCAGGGTGAGTCAAGCTGCTTGAGGGGCAGCCCTCGTTTGGGAGATAAATGTCATTCCGGGAACCGGAGGCTTCGTTGTGCTGCGAGGTCCCCTTGCAGAGCCTTCATCTGGAGAACAGGGAAAAAGTCAACTTTTTTTTCTCCGAGAAGACCTTGCTTGGCGCACAGTTGAAGGAGGAAGACGCCCGGGGTTCATCAAGCCCTCCTCTGGGGGCTGCTTATAAAAGGGGAGAAGTCAAGAAGGTCACTTTTAGCTCCACGGACGAGCTGCTGATTCCCAACCTCGGCTGCTCGTGTCAAAGCGAGGAAAACCTTCTCAGATATCCTGCCATCAACACCCCATCGGAAAGAGTGACACAACTTCTGCTTCACCCTTCTTACCTTTCTCCATAATACCATTTTCTCTCAGGCTAATGTAAAGATGGCTTCTTGGCGAGGAACAACTGGCAGTCTGCACGTGCCCAGACACCTCTTGCTTGACCTTCCTTTGAAAATGTGCCAAGCCTGAACCTCCAACCGCTTTGGGGACCTGCCAGAGACAAGCCAAAGGAAGAGAGACAGAATCTGCTGTCAGCCATGCCTGAAAATGCTTGTTTAGGGTGGATTGTCCTTTGTTCATTTATCCGAAGAGGCTGCCTGCCAAGACATTTTTGGGTGCCACGGTCTTGCTCCTATTATGTCCCTTTTTTTGTTGTTGGTTTTAAACAAAGCTTGCAAAGATGAGTTAAGTCACGGGGTGATTTAGTGCTCTCTGTGCAGAATAATAACATTGTTCCCCACCCACCCGCCCCCAGCTTCGTATTTTCATCCTTCTCGGTCCCTTTCATTTATTTCTCTTATCTAGAATTAAGCCCTTTCACACCAGACTCTAGGCTTAACTAGGGTGCTAAACATGATCACCTGCCAAACTGAGATTTAAGACCTTCCAAGAGGAATGGGCCAGGGTGAGGTCTGCAAGCAGCTGCTTTATCCAGGCTAAATCCAAACATTAATACTGATCAGTTTGATAGCTGGTGGTGTTTTCCCTCTCTCTGGTTTTATTGAGTATCTGGACAACTTTAAGAATCATCTTCAGATCTTTGCCTGTTGAAATTTAAAGAACTTGGGAATATCGTTGGCAGCTGTGCTTCAGGCTTCTCCTAAATTGAAGTTCATATTTGTTAGCCGTCATGTGTGTCACCCTCTTCCTTGCAAGGAACAGATTTCTGCATCCAATGTGGCCCCCCAACTGCTACCGTAAAGGGCATGGCCGGCACTGCGCTTAAAAATAGATGTGGGGCGCCATGACTATTGTGAGAGGTAAGATCCAGTGTGTAAGATCCAGCTTGGCGCCTTGCTAGCATCCTGCCATCAACTATTAAGAGGGAGGGGAAGGGGAGTAAATGGGCAATGAACATGTATGGGGCAGAGATGGGAAATAGGGAGGGGGGATGACTTCTTGACGGAGATCAGAGATGCAGGGAACCAGCCCGTGTCAGTCTTCAAGGCCACGTGTCATGGTTCTGACAGATGACACTCTTCAAAGAACTTCGAGGCATTGTTTACCTTAAAGAATCTTTATTCGAGTAGCATAGCATCAGCACGTACACAGTGGAAGCCAAAATCTGAATTCCCCTCCCCATAACACATAGTATCAAGCACAATTCCCTCCTCTAATTAGCAGCCATAAATCACATTCTCCAATTAGCTTGAAATGCAGGCTTTCCCTCCAGTTCTCCAACCTGTCATTTCTTATCATCTCTTATTTCAAAAAACCTCGGTTCTCACACTGTTACAATATTGTTATGTCTAACTCCTCCTCCTTCCCCTCGTATCATCTCATTCTAACCCTAATTCTAAGAGTAAAACATAAGAAGGAAAATGGCTGCATCTCCATGCGTTGTCAAAGCAAGAATATCCGATGTTAGCAGCGTTGACACCACGAAGCTTGGGAAAAGAATATGGATGGCTCCGACACCTGGGAGATTCTCAAAAGATCTAGGTGGCTCTCCATTGGCTGAAGACGAACCGGTCAAGGGGGAGGGAGGAAGGGCCAGAATGAAGGGGGAAAGCGTGTAACCTTTTGCGCTGGAACTTTAGTTCTAACCTGCCTTTATGGCAGCCAATAATCTCTAGTAAAAGAAGCGATCACTTCAACTCAACGGAGTCGAGGGTCTTTCTTTCCTAAGGGACCGGACTGGGGCAGGCCTGACACCAAGTCTCTTTAATGCAGTTGTGAGGCGGTGTGTCTAAAGGAGAAACGGAGAAGCGCCAACTGGTCTTTGTTATCTCGGATCTAGTGTGGAGACGGTGTATTCCCACTTAGCATCACTTGAGGCAGTGAGGTTGGCATGGCAACACCTGGGTAGCATTACCTTGTGTGAGTACCACGATATATTTTTCCAGGGCCTGCTGGCAAGTCTTTTTTTTTTTCTTTTCTTCTTCTCCGGCTACAGGGCAGCTCCGCCCGAAGCGGTGAATTTCAGCGTGAAACATTCGCAAGAGGTCAGTGTTGAAGTCATAAGCCGGGATCAGTCGGATTTCGCACCTGCCGATGGAGCTAAGCAATGGCCACTGGACCCTGGCACCTTCCTGCAGATCCAGATGACCCAGCCCAGCCTGGAGACCAATGAAAGCAAAGTAAGATCCTTTTCCCACCATTTTGTATCTGGGATTATTACTTTAAACTGGGTTATAACGGAGGTTCAGCTCGTTCTCAACTTACAACAATTTGTTTTAGTGACTGTTCAGAGTTACGATGGCACTGGAAATAGTGACTTAGGGCTGTTTTTTCACACGACCGTTGCAGCATCCCCCTGCGATCAAAATTCAGACGCTTGGCAACCGACTCATATTTACGACAGTCGCAGTGTTACCTTTTCTGACCTTCTGACAGGCAAAGTCAATGGGGGAAAACCAGATTTCACTTAACAGCTGTGTGGCCAACTTAACAACTGCAGGGATTCACTTAACAACTTGGGAAGAAAGGTCGTAAAATGGGGCAAAATTTACTTAACAACAGAAACAATGGGCTGTGTTGTGCTCGAAAATCAAGGACTACACAGATTACAACAGGGGTGTCAAACTGCTGGCCCGCGGGCCAGATGCGTCATGCCGAAACCGCGCCCGTCCCAGCTCCGGCAATGGGGGAAAAGTCCCGATACACCGCAACATGTCACATGACATGGCGAGTTTGACACCCCTGTGTTACAAGGACTCCGATTGGTCCGTCTCGCTGGCATCGCATCACCAGGAGTTTGCAAGGACCGGACAACTAAACCACATGTGGTTTTAAGATCATTTTAAAAAGTTCCTGACTACTTTTCTTATTGATCTGATTATTTTACGATAGTTGTGAGATTGCGGTGGTCCAGGCGCAGAAATTGGCCTGGTCCACCTGCATCGAGCGAGGACATGAGTTTCTTTCTCCGTTAACGTTTTAACCTACTGTCGTTCTTCCTTCTTCCTATCTAGGTAACCGTAGGATATTACGGGGAGAACGGAGAGCACCCTATAAATCAAGCTGGCGTTTTTCTGACTGGCATTGGTGAGAGTCTTCCCGTTTCCCGTCTTTGGTTCCCGCCGGAAATTGTCTTCCCCCTGGCAGAGTATTATCACAAGCTTTAATTAAAAAGTCCCACGATATCTGAAGCCAAGCTGAGGGCATTCCTTTCCTTACAGATCAACTGGGCGCTCTCCGCTCTTAAATTATCTCCAATTAGTAAAATATTCCGGGCCCCTCTGGATTCGAAAAAGTTTCTTGGCGGCCGTCTGCTCTAGTTGGTTCTTCCTCTCTTTGAATCCTTGAAGCGGCCAAATCTTTTGCTTTTCTAGGAATCTCTCTGGACGTTGACGCAGATCGCGACGGCGTGGTGGAGAAGAACAACCCCAAAAAGGTAGCGTGCAGATGGCAAATCTTCCTCAGTCAGAAATGTCTCTGCAATAGTCCTTTAGGAGGGATGCTTGCCTTACCTGGCCCTTAAAAGGGGACACACCTGTATGCTCGTATTTCCCAAGACGTTAAAACTGTGAATATTTCTACCAAAGGGACCCGAGCAAGGACTTCTCCCCCCAAATAGTTGCATGCTTAACCAAGTTTAAATTGATAATTATGTTCCTGCTGCTTTGTTGGTGTTTAGTCCAGAGAGAACAAGGAAAGAGGTGTCCCCTTCTGTTTTTAATTAAGAGGCAAAATTTTATCCAGCCCTCCGAATTTTTCTGTAAACTCTGTAATTTGCCTGCTCCTTCTCCGCCCCTCGGGGTTCACAGCGGCCTCTTCTCATTTTGGCTCCTGGGAGGGGGGCAGCCTTGTGAATTGGGTAGGGCTGAGGATAGGGTCCCTGGTCCTGAGACACCCCCCCCCAGCTTCCGAAAGAGATCTTTCTCCACAAGCAGGAAGCAAGGGGGAAAGGTTCACCTGGGGTCATCCTTCCCAGCCCGCAAGGCATTTGGATCTGTGGAGCCCCCACCCTCTTCTTGGCAAAAGTGCCCGCTGAGTTTGGCCCCCTTGTGCATAATTTGGCACTCGTTCCCCAATGCTGCTCCAGGGTCCCCTGCTGAGATAGGGATTCCCCTCGGTTGGGTTACTGTTCTCTCTCCTAAATCAGGGTGACATGATAGCAGTGTTCCAATATCTCGGGGGCTGCCACAAAGAAGAGGGGGGGAATCAAGCTATTCTCCAAAGAAACCTGAAGGCAGGACAAGAAGCAACGGATGGAAACTAACCAAAGAGAGAAGCAACCTGGAGCTAAGGAGGAATTTCCTGACAGTTAGAACAATTAATCAGTGGAACAACCTGCCTCCAGAAGCTTTGAATGCTCCAACATTCAATGAAGAGATTGGACAACCATTTGTCTGAAAGGGTATAGGGTTTCCTTCCTAAGCAGGGGGTTGGACGAGATGACCTTCAAGGTCCCTTCCAACTCAACTCTCCCCTCCCCTCCCCTCCCCTCCCCTCTCCTCTCCTCTTCCATTCCATTCTCTTTTTTTCTCTTGGGCTAAGAGTCCTACAGAGGCTGAAGCAGAAAGGGGCAATTCTCCCTTTTGACCTGGTCTCCAGGTGTATCCAGACACGGAGAATAGAGAGCTGGGGAGATGATTGCCTCCTTGAAGCGGCCAATTTTTTTGCTTTCTAGGAATCTAGAAATATTTTAAATAAACACAGGATTAATAAGTAAATGCGGGATGCAGGAAGTCTTCTGAACAGTTTTTAAACCTTAGATAATATTAGGAAGTGGTGCAGGCAAACACGTCCCTGTAAGGAACAGGAGGAGGAAATTATGTATTTATTCATTTTCAGTAGCTATTAAATTTCTACACCCCCCTGTCTCACCTGAGTGACCCTGGGCGGTTGAGAATAGCATAATAAAAACCATATAAATGCAAAAAAAATAAAAGCCTAGCTTAAAAAAACAGAGTTTATAATGAACGAGAACTTACAGGTAAAAATAAATCAGGAAATGCAGCAAAATTAAGACTTGCAAGACGGATAAAATCTAGAAAGCTCAATAAAAGTAGTTTTAGCTTTCCTGGGCTGGTTTAGTCGTGGGGCTGATAATGGTGGACATGACATAGATATATAACGATCGTATGCAAGACAGTTTCCTTAAATGAAAAGTGAGATAATAAAAGCCCAGTCTAACACAATACCAACAAAGAAGAAATTATTATTATTAATTTTGACCCTTTCCTGTGGTTCTGGAGCACACCAAGTGTTGGAAACATGACTTCCCAATGACGTTAATTCTTTTGATAGTTACCATGAATGGAACACAGAGGAATCTTTCTAAATGTTTCTTGGCTCTCCCCCCCCCCCATGTCATAGATAAATCTCTTGCCCAAATCTACCTGCTACATGTGAAATTCTTCCCTTCCAGGCCACCTGGACCTGGGGCCCCGATGGTCAGGGTGCCATCCTCCTGGTCAACTGTGACAAAGAAAATCCATTCAGCAGCACTGAGGACTGTCAGGATGAGAAAATATTTTCCAAGGAAGGTAAAAAAAAAAAATGGTCGATCTCTCTGGGGCCGTTCTGGAAATTGAAAAGCTGATAGAAATCCATTTTATAGATCAGCCTCTCATGCACAAAACATGGAATCCAGTTTTGAATGCAGCCAAGTGTTTTCCAGTCAGGGGTAACAAGGAGAAGAAAAATGGGCTCCAGCCAGTGGTGGGATTCAAATATGTGAACAACCGGTTCTGTGCGTAGATGCCACTTCCGGAAGTCCGTTCTGGGTCTGGGCAACAAAAAAATTAGCTACCGGTTCTGCCAAAGTGTTGCAAACTGGCTGAATTTCAGGGTAAACCACCTGTAATTTTAGTAGGACGAAAAAGGTCAACTTTAAGGCAGAGACCGAATGCTGACAGGATCGTATTGCATTTCTAAATAAAGTCACGCACATTCGTTTAAAAAAAAAAAAAGGAAAAAAGAACCAGCCTTTAGTAAGTCAGGAATTAAAACGCCCTCGCTAATGCGTGTTAGAAAAAAGAAATCGGCAGGGAAATTCTTTGCCTCTTAAGCAGAAAACTTAATTCTTGTAAGGAAGCTGCAATAAATACAAAGATTGCACAAAAGAGGAGCCGTGAGTTAGAGGAAGGTATGCTGAGATCTAATCAAAGTTAATTGCATTTTCTGAGAGGAGCAGCAGAATGGAGACAGGAGTTTTGGCATCTTGCTGGCATGGGGGAAACGCCATCTTGAATCCCCGGCGTGTCCAGTCTGAAGCCTTTGAAAGTTGGGCCGTGTGAGTCCCATCGGGCCACGTCATGAGTGTGCACAAGGGGTTGTCACGTGTTTTGAACAAAAAGTTTACAGGTAGTCCAGTGGTGGGATTCAAATACGTGAACAACTGGTTCTCTGAGTGGATGCAGGCCTGGGCATCCAAGGCCTAAAACGGACTTCCAGAAGTGGCATCCATGCACTTCCGGGGGCCGTTCTAGGCCTAGGAGGCCTCCTCCAGGCCTCCGAGGCCTACAACGGACTTCGGAAGTCGCATCCAAACACTTCCGGCGGGCCATTCTAGGCCTAGGAGGCCTCTTCCAGGTCTCCGAAGCCTACAACAGACTTCCGGAAGTGGCATCCACGCACTTCCGGTGGGCCATTCTAGGCCTAGGAGGCCTCCTCCAGGCCTTCGAGGCCTACAACGGACTTCCGGAAGTGGCATCCACGCACTTCTGATGAGCCGTTCTAGGCCTGGGAGGCCTTCTCCAGCCAGTTCTCCGAACTAAAAAAAAAATAGCTACCGGTTCTGCCGAACCAGTGCGAACCGGCTGAATCCCACCACTGAGGTAGTCCTCCATTTATGACCACAGTGGAGCCCAAAATTTCCCTTCCTAAACGCGACAGTTGTTAAGCATTTTGCCCCATTTTACAACCTTTCTCCTGCCGTTGTTAATTTAGTCACACAATTGTGAAGTGAATCTGGCTTCTCCATGGACTTGGCTTGTTGGAAGGTTGCAAAAAGGGGATCCCATGATGCCGGGACGCTGCGACCGTCATAAATATGAGTCAGTTGCCAACAATCTGAATTTTGATCACGGGACCGTGGGGATGCTGCCACGGTCCTAAGTGTGAAAAACGGTTCATAAGTCACTTTTTTCAGTGCTCTTGTAATGGTCAGTAAACGAACCGTCGCAAGTCAAAGACTTACCTGTATGGGAAACGACAAAACTCTCAGAGGCCAGAACTAGTTCTGAGAAAGAGGATAAAGCATTTGCCTTGGTCTGCCCAGTGCTTTAATTCCTCCGTGTGCCCGTTGGAGCTTTCTCTCTGGGACCCTCCCTCAAAGACCCTCTTAACCTCCCTCTTTTGCCTTGGGCTTTGAACCCCCAGATCTGGAGGACATGTCCCGGATGATCTTGAGAACGCAAGGCCCAGACCGGCTTCCTGCGGGCTACGAGATGGTTCTCCACATTCCACTTTACGACACCGACAAGGTTGGCGTCTTTTACCTGCAGAGTAAGTGCCTTTTCCGCTCTCCCGTTGACAGGCGATCCATCCTGGCTTTTTCACCCTGGCGTAAAATGCCCTTAACCGCACCCTTAATCAAGATCACCTGGGTCAGGATTCCCTTGTTTTCAGAGCCGCGGAGGCCTAATTTTTATCTGCAGTGGGCAGACACGTCCATTCTTACCAGCCCCGAAGGAGTCCTTGTCATCCTTCCATTCCAGCACCTGCCTCTGAATTGTATTAGTGACCAAATGGGAGTTGAGATCCACAAGTCTTAAAGTTGCCAGGTCTGAAGACCCCCCCTGCTCTTGAACCTTCCGAATGGCCGCTAAATAAATGGTTATAAACCGAGGACTGACTGCAACAACAAACGAGAGCATCTGTTTCTATTCCTTGCAATCGCAGAAAGTCCCGTGCAAGTGTTGTGTTTTTCCATCCTTTTAGGGCGCCTCCAGAACCCACTTTTCCTCAAAACAGAACCCTTGACACCCCCCCCCCACTGCCCACAGCCCTGATGTAGTTCTGACCAGGCATTTGGCTTAAGGTTTAGTGACCATCGTCGCTTGTTCAGTGAAAGTTGGTTATGATCAACCCAAGCGTAGATGCTTGCTTCCGAGGAGTCCCGTGTCCTTCTCTTCCGCCTCCGTTTTTCCAGATCCGTTCTTTGGCCAGCGCTACATACACATCCTGGGGAGAAGGAAACTGAGCCACGTGGTGAAATACACGGGGGGCTCGGCCGAACTGGAGTTCTTCGTGGAGGGTCTGCGCTTCCCGGACGAGAGTTTTGACGGACTCGTCTACGTCCATGTCAGTCTGCTGGAGCCGACGGCTGAGGTTGGTTTCCTGGGTGGAAGACGGTTGGGTGCCGAGGGTGGTCGCCGTGCCCCTTTTGTCCTCCCCTGCCCCCACCCCCAAAGAGGCTCTGGAAATCCTTCTTTCCTGGCAGAGCTGGGGCCGAAATGACTCGGAGCAGGAGAAAAACCAGGGCTTTCCATTTACCGCTTCTACGTGATCTTCTTTCCGTCCACGTTGAACTTTCTCCTCTCTGCCAAAACCAGAGTTGTGATTTTTGAGTTTGGCTTGCCAACCCTGCAGTGCCCCCGCTCCTTGGTTGAGGGGCACCCTTGCTTAGTCGCTGATCAGCTTGCCAAGGGTGCCGTACCCACCTCCGGGTGATTTTAGAACCGTATCAATTGGGATGCTTGGATTGGAGGCTGATTTTGCATTACGCCAGTCACCTTCTCGGATGGCTGGCCTGCTTGAAATGCCACCCGGGACTCTTCTGGGAATCAGATGGTCCCCCCTGCCTAAAAATGCAGATTTTATTAGCCTGGATCTGTGAGTTGGGTATCTCGTTTCTAGCTGCCCAGCCTCCTCCAGTTGGCTCTGGGCTGGACCTCGCCCGATTGGCCAGAAGGTGGTTGCTCCACATCCTCTCCCTGGCCACTTCTCTCCACCCTCTGAATGCCAGTGGTTTTCAGTTATTCAGTTATTCAGTTATTCAGTTATTAATTAGCCAATTAATTAGCTTTGCAAGCTGGAATCCTGCCTGCCAGCGGTTGGGTTATTTATTTATTTATTTGAATTGGACTCCAGCCGCTTCTGAGTGCTTTCTTCTTTCTTTCTTTCTTTCTTTCTTTCTTTCTCTTTCTTTCTTTCTTTCTTCCTTCCTTCCTTCCTTCCTTCCTTTTTCTTTCTTTCTTTTTCTTTTTCTTTCTTTCTCTTTTTCTTTCTCTTCTTTCTCTTCTTTCTCTTTTCACTTTTTCTTTGTCTTTCTTCTTTCCTTCCTTCCTTCCTTTTCTTTCTCTTTCTTTTTCTTTTTCTCTCTCTCTTCTCTTTCTTTCTCTTCTTTCTTTCTCTCGCTTTCTTTTTCTTCCTTCTTTTTCTTTTTTTCTTTCATTCTTTCTCTTTTCTTTCTTTTTTTGCTCTTTTTATTTCTTTCTCTCACTTTTTCTTTCTCTCGCTCTCTTTCTTACTCTCTTCCTTCCTTCCTTCCTTCCTTCCTTCCTTTCTTTCTCTCCTTTTTCTTTCTCTTCTTTCTCTTCTTTCTCTTTTCTCTTTTTCTTTGTCTTTCTTCTTTCCTTCCTTCCTTTTCTTTCTCTTTCTTTTTCTTTTTCTCTCTCTCTTCTCTTTCTTTCTCTTCTTTCTTTCTCTCGCTTTCTTTTTCTTCCTTTTCTTTTTCTTTTTTCTTTCTTTCATTCTTTCTTTCTCTTTTTTTTCTTTTTTTGCTTTCTCTTTTTCTTTCTTTCTCTCACTTTTTCTTTCTCTCACTCTTTCTCTTTCTCTTACTCCCTTCCTTCCTTCCTTCCTATCTTCCTTCCTTCCTTTCTTCCTTCTTTTCTTTCTTTCTTTCTTTCTCTCTCCTTTTTCTTTCTCTTCTTTCTCTTTTCACTTTTTCTTTAGTCTTTCTTCTTTCCTTCCTTCCTTTTCTTTCTCTTTTTTTTTCTTTTTCTCTCTCTCTTCTCTTTCTTTCTCTTCTTTCTTTCTCTCGCTTTCTTTTTCTTCCTTTTCTTTTTCTTTTTTCTTTCTTTCATTCTCTTTCTTTCTCTTTTCTTTCTTTTTTTGCTTTCTCTTTTTCTTTCTTTCTCTCACTTTTTCTTTCTCTTTCTCTTTCTCTTTCTCTTTCTCTTTCTCTTACTCCCTTCCTTCCTTCCTTCCTTCCTTTCTTCCTTCCTTCCTTCCTTCCTTCCTTCCTTCCTTCCTTCCCTCCTGTCAAATAAAAACGTGAGGTTTTCATATTTTTAAAAAAGGCAGACTCTGTCCTGACCTGTTTTGCACAGGAATGCTTGATGATAAAGGCTCCAGCAGTGCATTTCTGTATTTTTCAAGTGGCTTTTTTTCCGGCAGGGAATTCCGCAGATCCCGATCTTCACCGACACCGTCCTTTTCAGGGTTGCACCCTGGATCATGACCCCAAACATCTTGCCACCCATCTGCGTCTTTGTCTGCAGGTAAAGAAGGACCAAGCAGGATACAGGTTGTCCTCGACGTACATCCGTTCGTTTAATAACTTTCAAAATTACAACAGCGATGTAATTAGGGCCGATCCTCACACTTACAACCATCACAGCATCCTCACAAAATTTGGCTGCTTGGTAATCGGCGTGTATTTATGGGGGTTGCCGCATCCCAGATGGTGTGGTTGCCAGTTGCGACCTTCCCACCCGGCTTCTGACAAACAAAGCCAATAGGGGGGCGGGGGGGGGGGAAGCTGAACTTGCTTAACGACCATGTGGTTCACTTAAGAGCTGCAGCAGGGATTGGCTTAGCAACCGTGACAAAACAAAATGGTCATATAATCAGGCATGTCTCACTTTAACAACTACACAACAATAGAAATTCTGGTCCAATTTATGGTACAAAGTCAAGGATTCCCTGTGTATGTGTGTTTATTCACTCATTAAATTAGTATGGCTGCCCATGTCAACAAATGACTCTGGGTGGTGAACAAACTGAAAACAAATCCCATTACTTACCTACCTTTTTCTTTCTTTCTTTTCTTTCTCTCTCTCTCTCCCTCTCCCTCTCTCTCTCTCTCTGCCTCTATCTTTCTTTTTCTTTCTCTTTTCTTTCTTCTGTCTCTTTTTTCTCTTTCTCTTTTTTCTTTCTATCTCTATCTCTATTTCTCTTTGTCTATCTCTTCTCTTCATTCTTTCTTCTTTTTTTCTTTTTCTTTTTTTCTCTTTTTCTCTTTCTTTCTATCTTTCTTTCTTTTTTCTTTCTCTTTCTCTTTCTTTCTTTCTTTCTTTCTTTCTTTCTTTCTTTCTTTCTTTCTTTCTTTCTTTCTTTCTTTCTTTCTTTCTTTCTTTCTGTATCCCTTCCTTTCTTTTCTTTATCTCTCTGCTCTTTCTTTTTCTTTCTCTTTTCTTTGTCTTTTTTTGTCTTTATTTTTTTCTCTTTCTCTATCTCTTTCTCTTCGTTCTTTTTTTCTCTTTTTTCTTTCTGTATCTATTTCTCTTTCTGTCTCTTGTTTCTTTTTTTTTTCTTTCTACCTCTTTTTTCTTTCTCTTTTCTTCTGTCTCCTTTCTTTTTCTTTCTCTCTATCTGTATTTCTCTTTATCTTTCTCTTCATTCTTTTTTCTTTCTCTTTCTTTCTCTTTCTTTCTCTTTCTTTCTCTTTCTTTCTTCCACGTTTCTAATAAACATAAGATAAGGAAAGTATTGCTGTAAAATGGGGGACCTGAGTTTTGATAGAGCCAAGATGGACAGTCTTGGCTGTGAATTCAGGAAGAAAGAGACTTGGTTCTAGAGCCTCTCTAGTACCTCCAGCTCTTTTTCTTGGAGGACTGAGTGGGTCCCGACAGGAGTCATAGGTACCAGCTGATGCCCTCTTCCAGGGAAAGATGCGCAGGGCCTCCAGCGACACCTCACCTGTTCTTCTTCCCTCCCTGCAGTGTCAAGGACAACTATCTTTTCCTGAAGGAAATCAACAGCTTAGTCAGCAAATCCGGATGCAAGATCAGCGTTTGCTCGCGCTACATGAATCGTAGCGACCGATGGATGCAGGTTAGCGCCAGTGGCTGTGTCCAGATGCATTTCTTGCAAGCAGGCGTGAAGGCTCACGCCGTGTCTTTTGGCCTCCATACAATTCCCCATAGATTGATAAATGTTGATTATACACCGTCAAGTCAGCATCAGCTCCTAGCAGCCACATAGATTCTCTTCGTGGTGATCTGTCCCTAACATGGTTACGGGACTTCCCAAACGCAGTCCCAAAGATCCTTTATTTCAGGAGGCAACTGGACTTCCTTGTTTTTTCTTTGAAGATGTTTCTCTTCTCATCCAAGGAGCTTCTTCAGCTCTGACCAGATGGTGGGGAATGAAAGGATTTATACTCCTTGCAGACAGCTGGTCGTTTGCATTATTTTAGAGAGTCATTGAGGCCACTTGGAGGTTTATCTGTGTCGAGGGGTGCAAATGGGTGTGGAGCCTTCTTGGAATTACCAAACAGCCCTCCCTCAACATCATCTCTCTCCAGTCCGCAACAGAGTCCTTTCAGCAGTTCCAAGAAGACTCCACTCCCATTTGCTTTACTCAGGTGGCTCTGAGGACACAGGTAAACCTCCAAGTGGCTTCAAGGACTCTCTAAAACAGGGGTGTCAAACTCAATTTCATTGAGGGCCGCATCAGCATTGCGGTTGTCCTTGGGGGGCCGGGTGGGTGTGGCCAGGGTGGATGCGACCTACTGGATGGGTGTGGATGGAGTGCATGTGGCCCACTGGGTGGGCATGGATGGAGTGGGTGTGGCCTACTGGGTGGGCATGGCCAGCTCTACATCGTTCGCGTCAAGGGTGCCTGTGGGGACCTGGGCAGGAGTGGGACAGATCTGAGGGTCTCTGGCAGAAGGGGGTGGGACCGGGGCAAGCGCCAAGGCATGGTCCATTTCTTCATTCCTCACAAAGGGTGACACCTCCCCAACATGCACCCAGGGGGTAGGGCCGACGCGGCAGGATCTGGTTCCTCGCTGTTTCTAGACAGCCTTGTGGAGCTAAGACTAAATGTGTTTCAGCATAGATGGCCACCACAAAATTGTACATTGGCCCCCGGCCGGCCTGGGCCAGGGCCAAGGCAACGGGGCTGTTCCCTCACTGTTTCCAGGATGGCTTCGCGGGCCACATGAAACCACTTTGCAGGCTGCATCCAGCCCCCAGGCCTTGCGTTTGACATGTCTGCTCTAAAAGGATGCAAATGACCAGCTGTCTGCAAGGAGTATAAATCCTTCCATTCCCCGCCATCCAGTCAGAACTGAAGAAGCTTCTTGGATGAGAAGCGAACCGTCTTCAAAGAAAGAACAGAAAGTCCAGTTGCCTCCTGAAAAAGCACCTTTGGGACAACCGATGATTGAGAATCTCCATAGATATTCCCAAATGCAACCTTGAGATTAGCGTTTCTTAAACTCGACAACCTTAAGAATGTGGACTTCAACTCCCAGAATCCCCTAGCGGTGCCTTCAACCCTCCCTAGCCCCCCTCTTTTTCCCAGGACCTCACCAATTTCGGCTCTAGAGAAGCTGGCCATCCCTCAGTGCTGATTCTCCTTGTCTTGCAGGATGAGATTGAATTTGGCTACATTCAAGCACCCCACAAGCAATTCCCGGTGGTTTTGGACTCTCCGCGGGATGGTGGCCTACAATATTTTGCCGTCAAACAGATTTTGGTAAGAGCTATGGCTATGCCTTTCCTCTCTTGTCGTGTGAACGGAGGCATTCCTCCGTGGCAAAGACATTTAAAATTACTATTGAAGGGAGTGAGTATGCAGCAGAAGACTGATCGCAAACTGGCAGGAAAATCTGAATTTAAAAAAAAAAGCTTTTCATTTTGCAGTTTTGATGGAGCCCTGCCAGGAAAGGATCTTGGCAGACTTGAACACTGCACCCTATCTAACAAAATGAAATTCAGTGGTGAAAAAAGTAAGGCAACAGAAACACAAATGTACAGGTACCGATTAGGTGAAACGTGCCTCCATAGTAGTAACTGCGAGAGGGATCTCGGAGTCCTCGTGGACAATCACTTAAATAGGAGCCAGCAGGGTGCTGCAGCAGCCCAAAAAGCTAATACAAAAGCTAATACAATCCCTGATTGTATAAACAGAGGCATAGAATCAAGATCACATGAACTTTTAGTACCACTTTATAAAGCCTTAGTAAGGCCACACCTGGAATCCTGCATCCAGTTTTGGTCACCGCATTACAAAAAAGATGTTGAGACTTTGGAAAAAATGCAGAGAAGAGCAACAAAGATGATTAGGGGCCAGGAGGCTACAACTTACGAAAAACGGTTGTAGGAATTGGGTATGTCTAGTCTAGTGAAAAGAAGGACCAGGGGTGACATGACAGCAGCATTCCAACATTTGAGGGGCTGCCCCAAAGAAGAGGGAGTCAAGCTATTCTCCAAAGCACCAAAATGCAAGGAAAGAAACAATGGTTGGAAACTAACCACGGAGAGAAGCCACCTTAGAACCAAGGAGATACTTCCTAACAGTGAGAACAAGTAACCAGTGGAACGGCTTGCCTTCAGAAGTTGTGGCTGCTCCATCACGGAAGGCTTTAAAAAGAGACTGGACAGCCATTTGTCTGAAATGGTTTAGGGTCTCCTGCTCAAGCAGGGGGTTGGACTAGAAGACCTCCAAGGTCCCTTCCAGCTCTATTATTCTATGCCAGCGACCGGTCTGCACAAACAAGCAAAGCCCCATCCGTGGGATGCAGGCAGCACACAAAACTACACACTCTCTATGCAACCGGTCCCTGGTGCCCAAAAGATTGGGGGCCATGCTCTAAATAAGGTTTCTAGCCCCTTAAACCCCCAGGAGCTTGCTAGTGTGTTAGGATTTTTCCCAGCAGGCACAACGCAGGAGGAATCCAGCCTTAATGCGCCTCTGATTGCAGAGAGTTGTTTTCAAGGCCCCATGTCAATTTGTGGCGTTCGGAAACGGAATGCGCAAACGGGACGCTCATATTTTAGGGATGGCGTATGCTACAGCCCTCCTGCCAAGAATGGAAGTGGTGCGTCTGAAGGGCCCAGACATCCTGGGCCAAGGACTCCATCAAGGACTCTTGCCCCCCCAAGCGCAAACGTGCTGACTCCCCCCAAAAAAACTCTGTACGGTCCCCAATATGGATCCTGCCCACACCTCGGCACCCCTGATTTTTTTGGGGGGGGGGGAAGGGTTGCCTGTGCATTTAGCCGGATCTCTTGCGGCGAGGCGCCAGCACGTGGCTGTTTCTGAAGGGTAACCAGTAACCGGAGCCGAGAGCGAGACGCCGCTAGTGTTTCACAGAGACGGTTCTTTACCATACGTGGACTGGTCGTTCCTAAATATAGGGAATCCATCATTTTCCAGCCTCCAATGAGGACAAGTGCTCCTGAATTGGTCACGGGGAGAAAGAAATATCAGATCTCTCTCACTTTTGCAAAAAATCCAGGTTAGTTGGCGGACCGCAACCTTGAAAACAATTTTTTTATCCGCCTCCTGCAGTTTGTTCGGCAAAGCACTCAGAGGGGGAAAAAAACAAACCTAGAAGCCAGAGTGCTTTAAATATTAAACATCCCCATCTTTTGTTTAATCTTTCCTCTCCTCACCCCTGCCTTTGTGCCTTCTCATTTTCCAACGAGGCAACTTAGCTAGCTCTCTCTCGCCAACAGCTCAGTGTCCGTAGCCTCTTGAGAGGCACTTAATGGAAAAACGAGACCAGGAAGAATTAATTTGTCAGTGGGACAGAGAACAGCGGGAAGAGAAGTCGGTAGAGATCCGTGTGGCGTTTTGGGACTTAGTGAAGTTTTCTAGAGATTGCTGGCCTTATCTGGCTGTTTTTGCGCCCCGCCAGTTGTTGACTTGGAGAAAAATAGTTAAAAAAAGAAGTTTGCCAGTCTAGAGAAAAGAAGAAATACGGGTGACATGATAGTAGTATTCCAGTATTTGAGGGGCTGCCCCAAAGAAGAGGGAGTCAAGCTCTTCTCCAAAGCGCCTGAAGGCAGGACAAGAAGCAACGGGTGGAAACGTAATAGAAGCAACCTGGAATTAAGGAGAAATTTCCTGACAGTGAGGACAATTAACCAGTGGAACAGCTTGCCTCCAGAAGTTGTGGGTGCTCCATCACTGGAGGTTTTTAAGAGGAGACTGGACAGCCACTTGTCTGAAATGGTATAGGTTCTCCTGCTTGAGCAGGGGGTTGGACTAGAAGACCTCCAAGGTCCCTTCCAGCTCTATTTTGATTGAAATATGGTGCTGCTTTGTCCAAGGACTTGGCAGTGATTTCCTTCCACTTTTTAAACAACTGTTTTGGGCAATCTGGGAGATGCAGTTCAGCAGGCAACTTCGGGATCTTTGCCCCGCGAGTAGAACATACATTAAAATCATGTAGACACGTTTGAGGCTTCTGTTGCAAGTGCTTGGAGGGATTGCAACATGCCGGTTGCTAATCCCCGGGGAATTTGCAAGAAAGCTAAAAAAAGGCACAGGGCAGCCAAGTTGAAGGAAGGCGGCTTTTGTTTCCACACCTCGCGGAGAGTTAATTGCCTGTTTTAACTTTTAGCAGAAGCAAGCAGAAACGGAGGCTGTAACCCAAGCCTTTCTCCTGCTTCGCCTCCCCACTTTCAGAGCCTGGACGCGGGCGGGAAAAACGCACGGGAATTGGGACCGTTTGGAAGGACAAAAGGTTGGAAAAACAGTTGTGCAAGATTTCCCAAATCTGTAAGGTCAGCTGGCACTTGGCATGCTCTCTCAAGAGTGCTCCAGCCTCATACACGCCAGCGTGGGCACACACAGACATACCATCTTGTGCCAACCAGAAGAGTTTGCCCAGACTTGGAGATTTCTTCCTTTCTTCGGCTCAGCGACGAAGATGAAGGTGACCCGGCGCCAATCTCCTGGAGCCCGTGGTTGGCATCAGGATCCCGACATGCATACCTGGCAGGGCGGACTGCCCTTCCCTCTGTCTGTTCCAGCAGCCCATGTGGATGGAATTACACCCGTATCGCCTGGACGCAAGCCGGCTAATTCATAGCAAAGCCACCCTGGCACCCTCCCCTGGACTTGAGTGGGTCTCCATTTCAAAGCCTTTTCTGTCCCGCTCTCTTCCTCCTTCCTGCCCTGAGTGAGATTTATTTATTTTTTGCAAGGAGGAAAGACCTCTAGCGGCTTCTAGCAGGACGAGTGGCTTGGCTGCAGAGGAATTGGCAGCCCAGATTCCACAGGTGTGACGGGCGGATAAGTTGGGCCTGCCTCCCCTTTCCAGCTAAGTCGGATCTCCTTGGCTCGGCCCGGCTTGAGTCGTCTGAAACGTTTCAGGGAAGGGTCTGAACGAGGACCATGCAGGAGGATATTTCTGCGGATTTTATGCTGGGGGAACCTGTGGGGCTCTGTCTGTGCACAGGAGACCACAGCTCTGAAGGAGCTTCTTCAGTGACAGGTGTGCCTCCCTCCTTCCCTTCCTCCCTTTGACCCTCCCTCCCTTCCTTCCTTCAATTCCTCCCTCCCTTCCTTCCTTCTTTTCCTTCCTTTCTTCCTTCCTTCCTCTCTCCCTTCAATTCCTTCTTT